TAGAAGAAACTGGGATTATCTTTCCTAAAATGCCACAAAACAATCTCAGTATAAACATCAGTAGGAGATATGGAAAAAAGGAAGACAAATGGATAAAGTGTATGCAGGTTGCAATCGGATGAGAGGATTCAAGAATTTATAGTCAACCACGAAACCTAACATGGCCAATCACTGTCCCCGAGCTCAAATCCTTAAATTCACAAATATCATAGTTAAAACGTATAATTCAACCAAAATCCACAAACAATTTACTAACTGAAAGAAGATTGAAAGCCAAATTTGAAACGTAAAGAATATAAGATAAAACAATATTGTGATTGATCCAAGTAGAACCACTGCCAGCAATAGCCAAAAGTGAACCATCAACGGTTTGAATACTATAGGAAGAGTCAATGCAAAAAATCTGAAAAAAGTGTCAAGTCTCCCGTCATATGATCACTAGCACCGAAATCAACAATCTATGAAACTAAGTTGGGTGAAGAAGAGGATGAAATAGAACTACCTTCACGCACATTACATGCGTGTTTTGGTTCGACAAATATATTAACCTGTCCAAAAATGCTTGATCTCCTCCAATTGTTGCCTTGTAAAGAAACTGATGTTGACAACATCTACAGTAGTAGAATGACCCTGATGGTCACTCGATGATGACTTTTTGGAAGACTTCCAGTCTATTGGGCGCCCATGAATTTTCCAATAGTGATCATGAACGTGCCTGACCTTCTTGCAATGATCTCACCAAAGCATAAGCGAGAATCATAGATGGACTAGGGCAGAACATTCAACCATAGTAGAGGGAAGTATAAGAAAGTATCGACTCTCCTTGCGTTGAACCTCCAAAAAACCTCTCGAATAGATGAAAAGGGTTTAACACCCAAAACGCACCTACGAACCTCGTCGAGAGTAGTTATCAACCCAAAAAAATTGAAACACAATCAACCTCTCAATAAGTTGTTTGAATAGGTTAGCATCATCGCCACAATACCAATCATAGGATTCGTAGAGGTTGAGTGCTACCACAACCGAGACAATTGAGTGTAGTACTACGTGATTGTCTGATTGCCCTGTTTGAGTTAACTAACTTGACAGTCAATTCAAAACAACGCAACCGAGTTGTCCAAATTAGAGTAAGTTTCTCGCGCATCATGCCAAATTTCAAAAGCAGTGGTGTATAGTATGAAATTCTCACCGACGTCAGGTACCATGGAATTAAACAACCACGAAATAACCATGGTGTTCTTGCTCGACCAAGTTTCATATTGGGGCTTGGAAGAATATGGCATCAACATGTTTAACGAGAGATATTGTTGTTTTCAACAATCGGTGATATACAGCCAGACTGATTAGGACCAACGAATATATTTGTCTCCATTTAGGTGATGACAAGTGATGCAAACCGAAGAAGATTCATCAATGATTGGATGAGAGGCAGATGGTGTAACATCATATATTGCTTCAGAAGAGTCGGGTAGTTAGGAGAAGTCGAGGAAGGATATACCTAAATCGATACCATATAGAAAGTTTATTTATTGGAGAAGAAGGAATAAGTTCTATTAACGTGCTTTTCTTCGATGGTTATAACAATGTTTTGTACAATAGTTTACTAAGAGTCCTAGCTAAGGTAAGAGTTCTAACTAAGTTAAACTTATATATATTTACAATTAGGGTTTGAATTAGAGTTAGACTTAAGACCAGGGTAGCCGAGTAGTGCGGGTCACATCCATAGGGTGTATCATCTCTGTCTTCTTTTATGCATTTGTAGTAATTTCCATGACTTCTACTTTTTATATGTTTCTGTAATTTGAATTTATGAAAGCTTATAACTAGGGTAGCAGAGTAGTGTTGCCTTAGTTTAAGTTTTAACCCATTTGACTTTATTCATTCTCGTAGCTTGCTATCGTTGACTTCTATGTATCATTCTCTTCATGTTTCCTCTTTTTAGATTTAGTCGGGTCTTACGTTTCTATCTATATGCAGAGATTTTTTATGCATGGATTTATTTGCATGGATTACTTCCCATTACATACGCACATATGAAAAATGTATATGAAAACTGTTCAACTATGTATTTATTTATTTATTTATACATGTATTGCATTTTATCTCTATTTTTTAATTTTCTGACTGCCAGAGGTCTTCCACAGAAGTTGCTCTCAACCTGGCGTTGAGGACAGCATACTACCCTACCTCTCCCTTACCCATTACATATGGGAATAGGGTTTTGTTGATGTTGTTGTATGTACAAAGCATTCTCCTATATGTAACATAACTCATAATCGCACACTTCTAACTCAGTTAGAAGCCTTTGTAACCATTCCTTCGTAAGTCCCAAGTGTTATTGTACGAAACTCTATTTCAACGCTATGCCAGTCGTTGGATCTATGTTTGATCCAACGGTCCAGATGAGAAATAGACTAAGATTTCTAAAACCCACGACCTATTGCATCATCGTCGACGTCATTATTTCTACCATTTTCTTCCATCACTCTCACACCACATTTTAGCCATCAATCACAGATCAAATCAGACAATAAAAGCCAAAGATAGTCAAAATATATATAACACCGAATCCATTTAGATAAAAAAAATAATTAAAAATCCAAGATGTGAAATACTTGGGCTAGGGTAATCATGTCCCTATGCTATAGCTTCAAATAGTCAAAAGGCACATGATGTTAAAAAGGAAGAGGATTCGTACATAGGGTTCGAACAGGGAGAGAACCCTAATTGAGGCTAGGGGAGACGATATCGATAAAGCAAGTAAACACCAACAACGGAGACAAAGAAGAAGGAAAAGAAAAAAGAGCTTTTAGGCACGTGAATGAGTGAGAAGGTGGAGTTAAGAGAAATGCTGGAAGATAGAGACTTGTTCTGTCACTTTGCCAGAATATTGCTTGGCTCGGCTTCTCTAAGATTTGAGCCAACACTTGTTAAGAGCTTTGTTTGGTGGTGGGCATGTGAAGGAGAAAGAAAGCCGATGCTAATACAAAAGTTGGCTTCAAGTGAAGGCAAAGGCAAAAGCAAGTTGTCGGTGTCCAACAAAAATTAATAGAAAAATGTGCCCTATTTGTTTTAATGCCAAGCCTAAGCCTAAGCCTAAGCCACCACAAAGGAATAAAAGTGGCCCGTGAAAAATGTGTCCATTTTGTTTTAACAAACCTAAGCCTAAGCCCATAACTATAAAAAAAATCAGTATATATTTTATTTTCAATAAGTGCGCCTCACTTCAATAAGATGCACGTCTTGTGCCTTGGCTATAATACCCCTATCACCTTGGTGCGTCTTGCGCCGTTTTTAACATTGATTGAATTGGACATCTAGGACTTGAAGAATATGAGTTCTTCAAGTAGGAATTCCAGATCAATTGTGACTCCACCAAATCCTCTACTAAAAATAGGTAGCTGACCAAGCTTTGTAGTTTTCAAGCAAATCCTGAGCATTACATTCGATCTTTGAAAAAGAACGAGTTGTACTTCACGTTTAATTTCTATAGGTTGTAGACGATAATGATTTAACTTTTTGTAAATATTATCTGTTAACAGTTTAGGATAAAATCTAACTCTTATTTCTTAAGTAGTTTAGATAATTCTTGTATCTTATTTCTTATCTATTAGATAGTATAGTATTTTGTTTAAAGTAATTGTATTTGTACTGTAACTCTATGTAATTTAGTCTATTTAAGTAGACTTACAGTTCTATTCTAACTAATGAAAAACATGGTGAATCTGATTTGATCACTGTACAAAATACTCAATTTACTACAATTCCTTTTCAAGAAAAAACTTAGTTCCCTCTGTGTTATCTTGTGCAATTTTGATACCTAAGCTAAGAGAAGGTATCCACGTCCATTTGTGTAGATCACTGTTAGAGGCAAAGCACTTAGATTTGCTCGTTTGGAGACAAGCTATTCGAGAGACTATGATGTGTAGAGATCGTCAAGGGATTCAATTGCTAAAGAGTACAAGCTTCAAAGAACACAGAGATCTTAAACTAATTGTCTAAATATACGTTTTCAATTTTACATCTACTTATTAACTAATTGTTTCAGTTATACACCATTGTGATCCAAATCTACACAAAGTTGGGATGCTTTGGGCCAAATTCAGGTCGAGCTGTACTACTGATACCAACACTTCCATGTCTACAAGTTATGCTTGTTACTACAATTTATCACGAGAATCTATTGTTTTAGCATCTACATTTCCATTTTCTTTCTCATACCGTGCAAATTCTAAAAACTTGATTAGTCAGACTAGCTTAACTAACCTAGGAAACAACATAAATCAAGCATATCTTGTGGCATGTGAGAAAAATTGCACAGGCAGTGAGTGGCTTCATTACAAAAAAACTCGATTTTTTTAGCAACAAAAAAAATCAATGTCTTATTTAAAAAAAATAGTTAACAGAACTAGAAACTAAAAGGTCAGAGGAGTGGTTTTATAATCTTCTAATTTGAAAAGGAGAATTTATGTATCTAATCTTAATGAATTTATTTGACTAATTAGTAAAATTATGAATTAGATTGGTTGATGCCACCTGATTGGTGACACAAAATTCAGTCTAAGACATTATAAATAGTATAAATACTAAAGTTTAAAGTTAAACCATTGTTCTAAACTCACTATTAAATGCTCAAGCTTAAAACTATTATTCTAATATCACAAGTACCCTGTATTTCTTAGATTTAAGAGTAAGTGTCAAATAAAAATATTTCAACACAGACATATTCAAATCTATCCAACTTTGTTCACAAACTTAAAGGGCTGAACCTCTACCAGATGCTATCTAGATATGTGTCAAACAGAAATATTTCAATAACATGAAATCAATGCAAAATGGCTAATACATGAAGTACTATAAAGGCTTGAACCTCGACCACATGCTATCTAGATATTTGCTCCCACTATTAAAAGCAATTTATAGTATAACCATTATCTTCTTCAAGTGGACTGGAAAAAACATTTGACATATATACTGAGTATAAGAAAGTGGAGACTTACTAAAAGCCCTGAAAGAGTTTGCACAAGAACGTTTTGCTGCTCATACTCGCGCTTAATCTGAACAAGATCACTCCTCAACTTCTCAATCTCATTTTCTTGATCTTTCAAAGTTTGATTCATCAAAGAATTAGCATCTTTCAAGGCTTCATTCTCTATCTTTAAAGAATCATTTTCTCCTTTAAGGTTCTCCATATTCGATTGCATTTCCGTTTTGAGAGTCTGAGTAGAAACAAAGAGAAAAAATACATATCACACGTAACTCAAACTACCAACCCCAAGTCCCCAATCCTCATAATCAGAAGTGATATTGAATCATTCAGTACATCGGGAATTTATTTTTAGAACTTCCTTTTTAATCTCTCACTCAATTTAAACTCTAAAGCTTCTCTCTCTTGACCTACTTTGAAAGATCAAAACAGAATGGACAGGCTAAAACAGAATGAGACCAACTAGAATATTTATTGTTGTACTCAATTTAATTAATAGTTATATTTTCTTTTAGAAAATATTTTGGAATTGCATACGACCATTTAGACCTGTCTATTTGCATTTATAAATTAGTGAAATCAAAGATAACCTTCATACAAATGAAAAGTAGTTAATGAATGATAAGTTCATGTTTTGCCTAGTTTATATTCTATTTTCATCATAAAAGAAAAAAATAAAATTGCATGAAATTTGATCCCTTTTTACTCAAGGCAGGTTCGGGTTCGGTTCGGGTCAATTTCTGTTTAGATTTAATTTGGGTCAGGTTCGAGTCGGATCGGGTCATTTTGAGTTTCGGTTTTATTCGATTCTATAGTAAATTGAGTTGGGTTCAAGTTGGGTCGTGTCATGTCATTCTTGGTTTTAAAAGACGCGCACGCGCACGAGGCGCAACCAGACACTGAAGATGGCGCCCGCCCAGGTTGAGGTGAGGCGAGATACAAGAAGCATGCGCCTACGGGCTTTACGCGCCGGGCGCGGCGCCTTGGAGCTTATGGAGTTAAAACCCTAACTTTCAAAATTTGTCTTTGATTGAATCCTTTGGTGGTGGCTGGTAATCATTTGTTAGGGTTTATATCTTTATCGACATTTTGATAAAGGAAAGGAAAGGAATATAGGGGTATTGAAATAGCGGAGAAGAAGATGAAAGCAATATTAAAACAATACAATCAAATGAATTTTATAGTGAAGAGTGATCAGGTTAACAGCTATAGTGGATGTATAAATGTGCTGCATTTAACAGCAAGATAATGCATTGAATTAGACATGTTGCATTTAACAGTAGGATTAAATGCTTTTAATTAGACGAGGAACTAGCTCACATCTCTATTTTGACTGATGCATGCATCTAACTGTATAGAAGGAGAAACGACACTTGAAAAGAACAAAAAAGAGATAGCTAGGTTAAGCAAAATAGTCACTCTTCCATTGTAATTATCAACAAATTACAAAATAGTCACTCTTCAATGGTAAAAAAAATGTTACTTTCTAAGAAATTGAAGTTTGAGTAGTTGTGTTTGCACTACAAAGTATTAGTGTGTTGTCAAAGTATTAGTTTGATTTATATTATATAGTCCAGAGACCTTTTGCATCTCGGTGCGCCTTGCTCCCTTAAAAACCAAGGTATCATTTCGGGTTTTAGTTTTATTCGGGTCTATAGTAAGTTGGGTCAATTCGGGTCGATTATTATATCGGTTGATTTCGGGTCAGATCAAATCGAATCAATTTTTTTAGGTCAAATCAATATTCGATCAATTACTTTCAGTTTGGATCAATTTTGGATCTTTAGATCTATTCAAGTTGAATTGAGTATAAGTCAAATCAAGTATATATAGAATTATTAATATATTTTTTTTTTTGTAAAAAATGGTCTTTTTTTCCTAAATCTTATCATTTGTGTTCAATTTCATTCAAATTCAATTATCATTTACATATTATAATTTAATTCAAACTCGATCTATAATATATATTAGAGTTTGTGATTTTTTTTATTGATTTGGACTGAAAAATTTATGGTACGAAATATTTGATTAAAAAACAAAATTTTTAATTATAAATTTTATTATGTATTAAAATTTTAAATTAAATACTTAACGTTTCATTATAAATATAAACTTAAAAGTAATAATAATATGCTATATATGTTTGAATAAATATTATTCTATATTTATAAATGATATTATATTATTATATCATCGATAATAAACTTTAAATTATAAATAAAAATAGATATCTTTATATTGTAAAAATAAATTATTTGTGAAGTATAAAAATAAAGTTATTTTTATATTAAATTTAAATAAGTATATTTTTTCATATACAAAAGAATTAAAGTAATTTATAAATTAATTTAATAGTTTGGAAAGTTATTTTAGTAGTTTCAAAGTAAAATATTAAATTAATAATGAATTGCATCTTATTTCAAACCAGTCCTTAAATTTTTAAATATTTCAATTTTATCCTTAAATTATGAATAGCATTCTAAATTAGTCCTTAAACTTTTGAACATTAGAATTTCATCTCCAAAATATGAATCTCATTCTAAATTAGTCCCTAAACTTTTAGATCTTACAATTTCATCCCCAAATTCATCCAAATATGTAATCCATTTCAACCATAGTTTAACCTAAATTTTTTTTCCAAACATATAATAATACAACTTGCCTAATGATTTAACAACAAGATATTTGATTTAAATGAATTGAAAACCAATTTAATAAGTTATTTTAGTATTTTTATACATTCTAACTCAATTATCAGGTTAAAATCGGGTCAATGTTCGGTTCAGATCAAGTTTGAATAAATTAAATTCGGGTCACTTTCAGTTCAGGTTATTTTCAATTCGGTTGCTCTCGATTTGGCTAAAATTTGAGTCAATTTCGGTTCAGTTCAAGTTACTTTCAATTTGGATAAAATCTGGGTTGGTTTTGGTTCAATTCGATTTTTTTGGGTTTCGGATCAAATTTGGATCATCATGTTTGGGTCTTAGTTCGGGTAATCGGATTTGGGTCAAATTGCCAGGTCTAGGTCTAGGTCCAGGGACGGCGCCACCACCTTAAAATTTCAAGTTATCCTATAATTTATTTTTTTTTCTTTTATTTTATGTTGCTAATATGTTTCTGCCTCACTAAACTTTTATATATTCGGACCCTAACATAAAATCATGCTTATGGGCAAGACCCAAATCCTTGCAAGAGAAATGAGATAATAAGAGAAAGTAAACGCACCCTGCATCTTTCCCGATACGCCTGATCAATTCTCCTTTTCCTCAAAGCTCGTTCATGTCCACATAAGTTTGAAACGTTGCGTTTCAAAACCGAACCATTGGAAACGTTTGGAGATTGAAACGCTTGGGGTGTGCTAACATTACTGATCTGCCCTGTGGCAACTCCAGTGCTTATCCCAGGTTGATTTTGGCTCTGAACCCAGTGGGGGAATAGTATATGATCCATGAAATCATGATACTGGTTTTATGAAAAACATAGAAAATTGTTATTTTGAAGATCCATCAAAAGATAAACAGAGAGGTACAAAATTGAATTCATCTGTAATAAGCAAGTCAAGGAAGAAAGAATCTACGGGATTAAAGTAAAGCATAGACAAATGAAATTGCTTACCTCTTCAGCAACGTCTTCCATGGATTTGGTTTAGGTAAACAGATAAGAGAAGCATTTCTTAATCGCCAGTCCATTTAAATAAGTAACACAAAACAAAGTGCAACCCGTCGATGGTCCGTATAGAATGATACATAGTCGCGAGAGATCGCGCGAGTTAGCTCTCTTTATTCTATTTTTTTAGGTAAATTACACTAATAATCATTTTTATTTTTAATTCATTTTATTTTGATCATGTAAAGGTTATACCATGAACAGAGAGATGGAAGAAGAAATTGAATTTTATTAAAGAGTTCAAAAATGATCATTTACAGGTTTGATTTACTTTTTATCTAATATGGTAACTAATAATTTAATCACCTAGGAGCTGATCAACTGATTTAATTGATTTTTAACTGAAACATAGAACTTAACAGAGGAATACATTTTAACACATTTCATGTTATCTGCATCGTCGAGATTATTTGTAAGTTTCGGTAGCGCGATAGTGGATCGAAAGAGGGCATTCATACGGCTCAGTAGAGTGAATTTTGTTTTCTATATCTATAAGATTAAGATGTACTGATTTTCATAATATGACTAAATTTATTAGAGAAAATAACTTCAGTAACCGAAAATACCTTATAATATACGATTTTAACCAACATTTTTTTGGATTTACGAAAATGACCAACAAATTCGCAACGCGATCTTGAATTCACAGCGCGAACTCCAATTTCGCAACACAGTTTCCAAATTCGCAATGCGATTTTCAAAATCGCAACGCGAATTTGTAAACCACAACGTGACTTTGTAATTCGCAACACAGAAGTCAAATTCGCAAAGCGCGTTTATTTTTGCAACGCGAATTTTATTTTCAAATTCGAAACACTATTAATTTCGCAACACAAATGTAAACAGTATAATCGCAACTCATAACCTAAAACCCAAAATCACAACTCAGTCTCATCTCCATCTCTCACTCTCTACGGTGACATCTCCGACGAAATCCGTCCCCATCTCCGACGAAATCCGTCTATCTCCATCTCTCAGAGCCACCCTCACAACCATTCACAGCCACAAATGGAAAATCAACCACCGAGGGTTAGTTTTTTTAATTATTTTTATTTTGAAATTTTTGTATTATTATTAGATTTTTCATATTTAAATTGATGATAAATTTACTGGTAATTTCAATATATAGATTAACCATTTCACTTAGATTGCTTAGTAAATTAATTCGGTTGCTGCCAATACTGCTAAACTGTTTAGTCTTTAACCCTATGAAGTTAGTATTTATCTTTGTTTTGTCTTTTAGTTGAAGTAATGCAATTCATTCAAGTTTCAATTTGCAGAAGAATAGTTTTTGAAACTTAAATTCGCAAAACGAAAAATGAAATTCGCAACACGAAAATCGAAACGCGAAAATGAAAATCACAACGCGATTTTAGTTTCGCGTTGTGAATTTAAGTTTCGGAAACTACTCTTCTTCTGCAAATTGAAACTTGAATTATTTGCATTACTTCAACCAAAAAACTATGATAGAATAATGACTTGGGTGAATACCGTGCTAGTTAGAAATTTTTTTCGACTTCATTGACTCTAAGGAATAAATTAAGCCTAGTCACTACAATAGTGTCGACACTTACACCTGTACAAAGAAAATTGTTTGAGGATACTTGCTTCGGGCCATGGCTGAAAGTACAACATCCAAGTGGAGATGCTATGTTGACCCATTTGTTTCTTCAGACCATGACTAACGATATACCCGAGAGGATACAACGTGGTGATGAAGAGATATGGTTTCATTTTCCACCGGCGTATACATGTTTTGGGCGATGAGTTTTGCTTAATCACTGGTCTACGTTTCGAACACGATGAAGTAGGTCGGTACACTAGTCATATCGCCCGCCCATCATGGTTATCTCGGGTTTTTCGTGAGCTGGCAAAGGCGAAACCCAGTTTACACGTCGACGACTTGAAAAGATTACTTCTTAAAGATGGTTTTACTCGGATGGATGATCTTGATGTTGTCCGAGTATGCCTTTTATTACTTTTGAATGCCGGCTTTTTAGGTAAAGAGGCCAGACAACCTATTTCTGAGGACCTAATATTATTGATAGAGGACTTAAATGCATGGAACGTGTTTCCGTGGGGTTCATATCTATGGAAAGCTACATGGAAAAAGTTGTCGTTTGCCTTTGAGGACAGTCGTAGTTTGCGTGGAGATGGTTCCAAATACACTTTGGTAGGCTTTATTTGGACCTTTAAGGTAAGAATTTCTATATAATGTTTCCAAAATTATAATTAATTATTTAACAATTACTAATGTTTGTGTATTATATTGTTTGTAGATTTGGATATTTGAGGCTTTTCCCAGCATGCGGACATATGCAAGAAAAAATTCAAATGATATTCCTAGGGCTATTACCTGGAGGAGGATCCAGCTGTTGGATTGGGAAGATTTACTACCATATACGACAATGAATGATGTAAGTTAACACAAATACTACCATTTATAAACAAGTTATTACTAGTAGACGTTTAACTTTGTTTGAGCTTTTATATTGTTAGGAGGTCAACTATCCATTACAGAGGCTGACACCTACAGAGGCTGAGCTTGCCACTGATTGGTGGCAAGCTAGTAATCGCTTTTTTGATGGGACGGATGATGAGCACCCCCCACTTCGAGAGCCATCACCTCACCCAGAGCCATCACCTGATCGAGCAGATTATACACATCGAGCCTCTTCTCCACCATCACTTCATGATAGGCGACTGGCAAAGATGCCACGACATTTATCTCCCTGTTCTCCACCTCCACGGGATGAGTTAGGGGAGTTACGTGATGAGGTCAGTGCTTTGCGTGATGAGGTTGGTACTTTACGTCACAACAATGGTGCATGGCGTGATGAGGTACGGTCTTTACGTGGTGAGGTAGATGTTTTACGCGATGACAATGGTGCTTTACGTGGTGAGATACCTACTTTACGTGATGAGGTAACCGCTCTACGTGAGATTATTTCATTGTTGTAGAATGAGGTTTATACTCTACGCAATGAGGTAAGTTTGTTTAATACTATACTAAAAATGCTTTACGTATTAATTTATTTATTTATTTACTGATTTATGTATTAATTTATTTTTAGCGGCCCGAAAAGGTAGATGCTTTAAGTCGGGTTTTTCTTACACGACGGGGTTCACGCATCAGACGTCGTACACGTGCCATTACATCTCCGTTCACCCCAAAAGTGCCAAGACTCCGTAAGAAGAAGCCCGATTCACCTGTCATCGTTCAAGAGGCCCCTCCCACCGTTCAAGAGGCCCCTGTCATCATTCAAGAGGTCCCTCCCACCGTTCAAGAGCCCGATTCACATGGCATACTATGTCGACATATTGATAAACCCCCTCACGTGCCTGACATGATGGATGAGAGTTGGCTTTCGTATTAGTTACCGGCCAGTAGCATTCCTCAGCAAGAGAGGATAACATTACTGGACACAATTCTGGATAATACCCTTTGGGCTAAGACCACAGTTGATTTTTATCAACATGAGCGGAGCCAGAGGTGTTATGCTGACATATACCTAATCGACGATATGCATTTGTTTCTTGAGCGGTTTTGGTGGGGTGTTTTATTAGGGGTTGAAGAGAATGACTATTTCGAATGGGGGGTAAGTCTTATATTCTTCTTATATTGATTTTGATTATTATTTTTAAAATTTAGTAAATTCACTAATATATGTATTTTTTATAAAACAACATATTGATGCATGAGTGTCACGTCTTCTTATTATAAGGAAATTGAAGAAAATAAAAAAGACGCGATGGACTATTATGCCTTCGTCTTTTTACGCATCTCACTTGAAGGATCAAAAAGACTCTTCATATGTGTTGGGTAATGGAAAAGCTCGCCTTTATCCTGCGTGGTGAAAGGTCGATAATGTTAGTATTTGATGTGCATATTTAAAGGTGTTCATAAATTTTATTTGATATGCACAATCGAATTATTATTTATGATTGCAGGTGTTTATCCCTGTTATGGAACATCGTCATTGGCTTCTCGTCGAGCTTCAGCTCCCATCCCTAAATACAATAGTATATGACTACATGTTGAATTATATACAATTTTCTGATTTAAAAGATATTATTTGTAAGGGATGGAGTGCTCATTTGGCTAAATACTTATATTCGATTGATTATTGGACTAATTCTAGAAACAAGAAGCCAAAAAAGTTCAAAGTTACAATGATGAGAGACGAGATAGCGCCACAACAAACGATTGGAGCCAGAGGGGATTGTGGTCCTCTTGTCTGCATGTGCTTGGAACGTTTGACGACATGAGGTAAACAGTTTGTACCTCCCACAGATAGAGATAGAGGTGCAGTAGGGTTGTGGTTTCGTCATTTTATGGCTAGAGCGATATATTCCAGACGTTGCCTACCTGCATCCGCGTGCTGAAAGTGTGCATAAACAATCATTTGTTATTGGTAAGTTTGAGCAAGTGTTGTTAACATATATATTCTTTGTTGGTTTGAAAATGTTTGGTTTAAGTACCTAGAATTCAATAATTTACTGTTTGTTGGTTTTAGATATGTAGAAAGTGGTGTTTGAGCAAATGTTTAGTTTATGCAGGTTAATCCTGAAGTGGGCTGCGTGAATGTATTGGATGTAAGCTCCCTATTGTTAGGAGCATTTGGATGTACTGTATGGGGCTAATTGTATCAATGTGTTGTTAATTTGATTTTTTAGATGTGTAAATAAGAATTATTTTTTCTTGTTTAATTGATTTGTAAAATTTGATTTGTTGTTTAAGAAAATTTTAATCTGCATTATGTTGAAGGAAAAAAAGACCTGTTGAAGGTACAAATTCGTAACGCGAATTTGACTTTCGCGTAGCAAATTTGACTTCTGCAATAATCGCAACGTGGTTTTGACTTTCGTGTTGCGAATTTAAGGAACCCACCTTAAAAAAGATAACAGACAACAATATAATAAGTGATAACAACTGAACAGATCATAGCAATGTTCAAACTCAAGTTACTAATGCATGTCTAACTGAAAATGTATGCATTCACACATAAAATATACATAATACAACGTTTGCATTTAAAAAT